CTATTTTATTTCTTAAGATATTGGTCTTTAGGGTTCTGAATTGGTTGCCAGTTCCAATTTCCATAAAGGTGTCTCCTGTGTTTTCTAAGATTCTTATAGTTGGAGGTTTTACATTCAGGTCATTAGTCCATTTAGAGTTAATTTTTGTGTATGTAGGTAGGTAGGGATCCTGTTTCAATCTTCTGTATGTGGTCAGCCAGTTTTCCCAGCACTATTTACTGAATAGGTTCTCCTCTCCCCAGTGGTTGTTGTTGGAGGCTTTGTCAAAGATGAGTTGGTTGAGGAATTGAGACTTTGCTTCTGGAATCTCTATCTTGTTCCATTGGTCTATGTGCCTGTTCTTTTACCAATACCAGGCTGTTTTGATTACTGTAGACTTATAGTAAAGTTTGAAGTCTGGAAGTGTGATACCTCCTGCTTTGTTTCTTTTGCTAAGGATTGTTTTGGCTATTTGTGGTCATTTATGTTTCCATATGAATTTCTGTATTGTCATTTCCAGGTCTGAGAAGAATGATGTTGGTAACTAAATTGGTATTGTATTGAATCTGTAGATTACCGTTGATAGGATGGACATATTAACAAGGTAGATTCTTCTTACCCATGAGCATGGGATATTTTCCCATTTGTTTATGTCTTCTTGGATTTCTTTGAGTAGTGTTTTGTAGTTCTCATTGTAAAGGACTTTCACTTCTCAGGTTAGGAAGATGCTGAAGTATTTCATTTTTTTGTGTGTGTGTGTGGCTATTGTGAATGGGAATGTGCTTTTTACTTGGGCCTGCTTGTTGTTGGTGTATAGGAATGCAACTGTCTTGTGCACGTTTATTTTGTACCATGAGACTTCGCCAAAGTCTTTATCAGTGCAAGAAGATGTTTGACAGATTCTCTTAGATTTTCAAGGTATAGGATCATATCATCAGCAAAGAGGGATAACTTGACTTCCTCTTTTTCTATTTGGATATTCTTGATTTCCTTCTCTTGTCTAATTGTCCGAGCTAGGACTTCCAACACAATATTGAACAAGAGGGGTGAGAGTGGGCAGCTTTGTCTTGTTCCAGTTTTCAGGGGAAATGTTTCCAGTTTCTGTCCATTTAGCAATATGTTAGCTGTGGGTTTATCATAGATGGCACTTACTATTTTGAGGTGTGTTCCTTCTATACCTAGGTGTTTGAGGGTTTTTATCAAGAAGGGATGCTGGATTTTACCAAAAGTTTTTTCTGCATCTAATGAGATAATCATGCTGTTCTTATTTTACATCTGTTGATGTTTTTAATTACATTTATGATCTTGCAGATATTGAACCAGCCCTGCATCCTTGGGATGAAGCCTACTTGGTCATGGTGGATGATTTTTGAAATGTGTTTTTGGATCTGATTTGCTAGAATCTTGGTGAGGATTTTTGCATCTATGTTCATAAGGGATATTGACCTGTAGTTTTCTTTTTTTTGTTGGCTCTATCTTTACCTGGTTTGGGTATCAGTGTGATATTAGCTTCGTAAAATCATTTGGGGAGAATTCCATCTTTCTCAATTGCCTGGAATACTTTCAATAGGATTGGTATCATCTCCTCCTTGTACGTTTTGTAGAATTCTGCTGGAAAACCATCCAGTCAGGGCTTTATTTTCTAGCTTTTTTTTTATGGCAGAGTCAATTTCCTGGGTTGTTATTGGTCTATTTTGTGTCTCAATGTCTTCTTGTTTCAACCTGGAGAGGTTGTGTGATGTCAGAAAGTCCTTCATTTCCTTTAGGTTATCAAATTTGTTTCCATACAGGTGTACATAGTAATCTCTGATAATCTTTTGTATTTCTTTGAGTCAGTTGTGATTCATGCACAAAGGAAAAATATTTTAAAAATAGATGAAATAACAAAGAGTCAAAAAAAATTTTTAATTTTTTTAAATTGAAAATTAAAAAAAAATCCTGTCCTCTTGTGGCAGGCTCTGTAATTAATTGTTCCTCTAAGCATGTCTCTCCTACAGAGCCACCTCTTTCACTCTCCCCCCAGTGTCTGAAGCAGGGAAGGAGGAGGGGCAGTGGAGGTGGGCGGGGCTACAGTCCTCCCCTCCCACTATCATATGGTCAGGGAGATTTCTGGTGGGGAAGTATGGTATTGTCTCTTCCCCAGGTGTGCACTCTCACGGGCAGGTGTCCTAAGCAGGCCTATCCTGGAATGGAGTTCTCCTACTGTGACTGACGTCCAGGCTCCGCCTTGGTATGTCCCCCTCAGTCTTGGCCCAGCTGTGTGGGTCTGACGTTCAGAGGATTGTTGGGGAGGAGGGGGTTTGGGTCAGCCCCCGACTCACCCCTGATCTCTTTGGAGTTCTTCCTTATCATTTTCTTGCTGTACCCTTTGTCCCATGGCTGGATCAGGGTAGGGGGTGGGGCACCTGGAACTCAGCACTCCTCAGGTCACTCTGAAGTTTGTGCTCTCAGGATATTCCCTCTGGGCCAGGATCAATCCCTGAGTTGTTGATCAGCCAGTCACAGAGATCGGATCTATGGTCTTGCAAGAGGGAACAAAGAAGGGAATGTAAGGGAAGAACAAAGAAGCGACTTCGACCTTGGAGCATGCTTCACAGACTTCACTCCCTTCCGGAAAACTGTTTTGAAAACATTGCCAAATTAATAACACCCTTATCTACTGCACCTGCATAACTGGCTATATCTGCTTCTGTAAAATTGCTGGCTTTCCCATGCTAGCAAAATAATGTGATAAGAACCCCAGAACTTCCCAAGTTCTATCTTTAGCCCACTAGAATGTAAGTCTAAACTACTTAAGGCAGCCCTGTGTTGCAGCTGGCCGCCTTTGCTTTGGAATTCATTATTCAGCAAGTGGCCACCGGCCATGGCCGAATCTGGCTAATAAACCTCTCCTTTGTTAGTTATAACTTTGTGTCGGTGTCTGTGATTGAAGCCCTCGGACCCTACTTCAGTCTGTGGTGAGCAAGTCAGAGCACTTTCTTGCCCCGTCTTCAATATGGTGGTAGGGTGCCTTTCTTGTCCTCTTCCATGGGATCTTGCTTCTGAACTCTGGATCCACAGCCCTTACTAGTGCCCTGCCAGGTGCTGAAGTGGTGAGGCAAAGCCTGGAGCTGTCTCTCTCCTGTTTCAATGGTGAGGGAGAACCTGGGGTGATAGTTTCTCCCTGCTGCTTTTTCAAGGCGATAGTTTCTCCCTGCTGCTTTTTCAAAACTTCTGTCCATTTTTTTAAAAAAGCAATGGTGCTCAGCTTCTGTGACCATTGATGTCTTTGGAGTTCTTCCTTGTTCTTTTCTGGCCACACCCTTTGTCCCACAGCTGGATCAGGGTAAGGGGTGGAGCACCTGGAACTCAGCACTCCTCAGGTTCCTCTGAAGTTTGTGGTCTCAGGTTATTTCCTCTGGGCCATGATCAAGCCCTGAGTAATTGATCTGCCAGTCACAGAGATCGGGTCTGTTCCTCTGTGGTGAGCAGTCCATAATTACATATATTTTGTCTGAAGTTTTACAAAACAATACTGACATCCTATGAGGAGGATCCCCATAAAAACTCGGAATTATTTTTTGGAGGGTGGGCCCCTTGTTGTACCGGCTTCCCCTGTTAGATAAGTGTTCTAGGAACCCATGGGCATCACAGCAGCAGCTAGCATTGCTGTGAGAGGCTGCGTTCAGCTTCAGCAATATTTTTTTGGAGATTCTTTCAACACATTTGCCCTTTTCATGATGGGTGATTTACAAGCACACTTGCCCACATTATTTTGGGTGTTCAGCAGTTTTTGACCTCAATGGCCTGACCCTCATGGCTAACCCCCCCACCTATTCACCAGATCTCTCCCAAAGTAACTTTTTTGTTGTTTCTCTGGATGAAAAAAGTCCTCCAAGGGAAATGTTTTGCCTATGTGGAAGAAACTAAACAAAAAATGGCAAAAGCACTAAAAAGCATCAAAATTGATGAGTTCAAAAACTGTTTTGAGCAGTGGAAAAAGCATCTTGATAGGTGTATCGCATCAAACGGAGAGTACTTTGAAGGTAACTGAAGTTTGAACACGTAAGAATAAATACACTTTTTTAGGAATAAATTCCAGTTGGGGAGGGCTCATATTTGTCAAATATTTCCAGCTCCCCCCCTTCTGGCACACTGTAAAATTGCACTTTCCTGTACCCTTTGTAGTTACTAATGATCAGGTGATGTGTATTGCTAAGGACTGTGAGCAAGGTGAAATGGGGCATTTCTAGGGAAAAACTTTAAGAACCAGTACACAGTGTACAATGTTCTCTGTTTCCTGCTGCTCCATTCATGACAGCACAAATGTGAAACCCCTGTAACCCTGGATACTTCATTGAGGGTAATGTAGTGCAGAGCCCTCAGGACCCCCCTAGTAGGCAAATAGTGTGAGAAATAAACTTTTGTTATTATTATTATTATTTTTAGTTAGAGTCTCACTCTGTCGTCCAGGCTGGAGTGCAGTAGCACACTCACAGCCACCCCAGCATTGACCTGCTGGGCTCTAGGGATCCTTCTGCCTCAGCCTTCCAAGCAGCCGGAACTATAGGTGCCTGTCACCACACCCGGCTAATTTTTTTATTTATTGTGGAGACGAGGTCTCACCAAATTTCTTGGGCTGGTCTTAAACCTGCAGTCTCAGGGAATCCACTTGCCTTGGCCTCCCAAAGTGATGAGATTACAGGCTGAGCCCCCAAGCCCAGCCAACTTTCATTATTTTAAGACACTGAGATTTAGGGTTTGCTTTTTGCCATAATACAATCTAGCCTATGCTGACTGAAATAAATACTTAGCTTTACAACATGCTACATATTCTACTATTTAATACTATTTTTCTGTTTCATTCTGTTTCAATTTTCAGTGTTGGCTGCAACTTAATAAATTGATATTTTTGACCTGATATTGTGGTTGCTACTTGCAGTTTGAAAAAATACTACTCTATATCATGTTCATTTGTGCCATAGCTGATCCTGTTTCCAAGCTTCTATAGAGCATTGTTAATGATTCCCATTTCTCTGCAGGATTGTGGTTATGGAGAGGGTGCAGATGCATACTGCACAGCCTGCCCTCCTCGCAGGTACAAAAGCAGCTGGGGTCACCACAGATGTCAGACTTGCATCACTTGTGCTGTCATCAATCGTGTTCATAAGGCCAACTGCACAGCTACCTCTAATGCTCTCTGTGGTCACTGTCTGCCCAGGTGAGCCTACTTTCTTGAGCCAAGCTCATTTGGGCCTTTGTAGCCCTTTACAGGTTTCTCTCATCCTTACCCGTCAGAACTTATTTGAAGTATTCTAACTGCCTACATCATATTTAAAACTCCCAGTAGAAAGAAACAGTGTTTTCCCAAGATCCCTCTATAAAGTACCTAGCACACTGTCAGTCACAGATGAACACTTGACAGCCTTTTTGTTATGTTGGCATTGTTAACCCAGGCTCAAGATTCAAAATAAATCTCACTGTAGACTTAAAAGAAATGATGAAGCAGTTTGTAAAAAAGCAGTGTTCCCCTCTCTTGTGAAATTAGTTTTCCTTTTGGCTGTAAAGGGTAGTGAATGGAGGAAGAGGTGGATTATCTGGGCCTCTGAGTCAGAATCAGATAAAGAGGCAAAGAATTCACAAGGAGAGGTAGATGCTGACTTTCAGAATGGCAAGACTCTGAGAAGCTGCCTAAGATCCTAGAAAGAACTATCCAAATGCATTGCTTGTTTGATTACTCTGTCATTCCTAATTGCTGTGACCACAGGTTCTACCAAAAGACACGCATTGGAGGCCTACAGGACCAAGAATGCATCCCGTGCACGAAGCAGACTCCCACTTCTGAGGTTCAGTGTGTGTATCCAGTTTTCTTCTTCCCTTGTCTCCCCAATCTATTAGGTGGCAACAAGATAGGGTAGCAAAGACTTCCTGTAGAGTGGCAAGGGAATCAGCTAGATTTGAATCTTGTTTTCACAACATACTTTTTATATAACTCTGCAAATCAAACAAACTCATTGAATCTCATTTCTCTCGTCTGAAAAAATATGAGTCATGTTAATAATTTTCCTTCATACTTTATGGGATGGCTATTTAAGTTTAATGAAATAATGGATGTGAGGAAGCACATTCTAAATTACAATATTTGTTTATTTACGAAGTATTATTCACAAAGTTTATAGGAGTTTCTAGGGCTTAGATCTTGTAAAAGGCTAAATGAAGAACTGGGTTCTGATCTATACTTACATCATTATCCATTTTTCTGTTTGATGATCATTTTTATCTGTCTACCATATATGGACTCACCTATTCTTTTAAAATTATTGATAGTTTTAAATCATAAAATATTTGAAACATTCAGAAACATTTAAAATTGCAGAAAAGTATAAAATAAAAATGCACAGCTACCAACATCCATCTGGAGTTAATAACTCAGCATTTTGCATATTTGCTTCAGATTTTTTAAAAGAACAATGATTTTATAGATATAGTAGAATTCCCTTTTAGATCTTCTGAGTCCCACTCTCTCCTTACCTTCTCAGATAAAACCATTATCCTTAAATTGTATGTTTTCTGTGGATAGGTTGTGCTACACTATAAATAACTCCAAGATCCCAGCAGCTTAATATAATGAATGTTTATTTTTCATTATGCAAAAGTTTTCCTCCATCATGTGACTATGGCTTCTAGACCATATGTCTTCCAAGTGTATGGTACAAGGAAAGAGGTGGAGGAGATGTACTGCCTCCTAGCTGTCTCAGTAAGGAAGTGACACACTATTTCTACTCACAGTCTGTTGGTCAGAAGTACTTGTATGGCCTCACTGCAAGGATGTAAGGGGAATTCAGGGGAGCATGTAGATAATTGGTGAGCATTATGCTTCTGCCATGCTCTCCACTGATGTTTTAAAACTTGTATTCTTTTGTGATACATAAGCATATTCATAAACAATATATGCTATTATGTATTTTATAACATTTTGCGGAAATGATATCAAGCTATATATGCTCTTTCTTCAATTTGCCTTTTCCCCTCCTGGATTACTTGTTGATCTATTGAAGGTCTTTTACTTTAAGTAATGTAAAATAATGTTTGATCTTAGGATTATATCATGATTTATTTATCCTATATTCGATTGATGAGCATTTTAGTTTGTTTTTGTTTTTCTAGGTAGTATAACTAATTGTGGCACAGAAAGACCATCTTTAATTAATGTACTAATTTTATGCCATACCAGCAGTGCATGCAAGTTCCCCTGCTTTGTTCTTTATAATTTTGCCTACTCAACAAAGAAGTAAAACCAGTGTAGCAGCACTAATTGGGGAGGGCTCTCGAGAGACAGGTGATAGCCTGAGGAAGTGCAGGACCAGTGGCAAAGTGATTGTTGACTGCCTACACTAACTGACCTCTCTTACTTTTTTGTCTCACAGGTGCCTTCCATTTGAGCTTAGTGAAGGCAGATGCAACCACAGTGCCCCCTCAGGAGGCCACACTTGTTGCACTGGTGAGCAGTCTGCTAGTGATGTTTACGCTGGCCTTCCTGGGGCTCTTCTTACTCTACTGCAAGCGATTCTTCAACAGACATTGCCAGCATGGTAAGGGTGGCTGTTCACGTTTCAAATGAATCAGGAACAAGGCTCTTATTGGCAAAAGAGAGGCATTTTCTGAGGTTGGGAATTAAAGGGTCAATTCTACAATGCTGGAATACCTCAGGAGTGGTCTTCTGTTGGCCTGGGGAACTATCAAGAGCAGCAATAGAAAGCATGGAACTTCCGAGATAACTGAGGCTAATCATAAGAGTTTATCGAACCTGGTTCATTAGGTTTCAGAAGTTTATAAAGGAGTATGGCATGATGGAAAATCTTTTGGAAAATAAATATGGAGACCTTGTTTTTTTTTTGTTGTTGTTTGTTTGTTTTTTGAGTCAGAGTCTCACTCTGTTGCCCAGACTGGAGTGCAGTGGCCACTCTTGGCCACCGCAGCCTCGACCTGCTGGGCTCCGGCGATTCTTCCACCTCAGCCTTCCAAGTAGCTGGAACTACAGGCACGCACTACCATGCCTGGCTAATTTTTTTATTTATTGTAGAGATGAGATCTCACCAAGTTGCCCAGGTGGGTCTCGAACCCGCAGGCTCAGGCGATCCACTCACCTCAGCCTCCCAAAGACGCGGGATTACAGGCTGAGGCACCAAGCCCGGCTTGAGGCCTTGGTTTTAAATCTGCCTCTTAATTGCTGTGTAACCTTAGACAAATCATCTAGCCTCTTTGAACCTCTTTCTTTCTAAACTTTAAAATGGGGGATAGGATTGGATTAGTTGGTCTCTAAGTTATTTTCCAATTCTTCATGTCTATACTAGTAGGTGTAAATACTGTGAATACTGGAGCATATCAGGAATGAAGGAAACTTGACTAGACCTAAGACATGACATGAACCTAATAGAAGTAGGGGGAATCTAAGGCTAACTGTTGTCAGTATAATAGCTTCTTAAATGGGGGTAACTAAAAACCCAGTGTTCAGAGGAGTTGGCAAACCTAGACATTTTCCCTCAGATAATAGTGATACCCAAGGAGGTATGGTTCAGCCTGTATCAGATGGTCTCTTAAAATCCCAGATGGAAGGTCATATTTAAAATCACAAAAACATTGTGATTTTAATTCAGCACAAATTTAGCCATTACCCAAGAATGTGGGACAAAAAGTTCAGCTCACTGGGGCCAAAAGTTGAGAATTAATGGGTCATAGTGGGATTGTGGTTGGACAGAACCAGGCATAGGGTTAGAATGTCATCCTAGAGAATAGAAGTTCAGTGCAGCTTGAGTGCCATTAAAGGGACTGAAAGCAAGACAGGGGTACCAAACAGGAGCTCAGACTAGTGAATGGAGTTGATTTAGTAAGGAGTATTAAGTTTACCAGCTGCAAGGGTGCTCAGCTCTCCTTCTCAGCCTACTAGATACTGAGTCCAAAGTAACAGTATTTGTGTTGGAATATATCTGTTATATAGACTTGTCTTGTTCAGTTTGGTTCTGGGGCCTGCCAGATAATTTTGAAAAAGCTCAGCAGGTATATTTGGCTGTGTCTGGGCTTAAGCAGAGATGAATCCAGCATTCCATGTGCTGCAAGATACAAGGAAAACACTGTTGTCCCTTTATGTCCCCTCTCAAATTCTGCTTCCCTCTACTCTGTTACTTGGTGACTCTTGGAATGTTGTAGCTCAGGGTGGATCATGCTGTCTCTGGCTTAGGAGGCCAGTGTCCTAGATTAGAGCCATTGCCTAGGCCCTGGGCATGGACATGAATCATGGGCAATGAAGTATTTGAATTCCAGGGCCCAGCAAGATGAAGATGGGTGACCATCTGAGAGCTACCTGTCTTCTCTCAGGAGAGAAGAGATGGGAAGCTATTGTGTTTCCTTTCTATCACCAATATAGCAATGTGGTACACCTCTTAGATTATGAGGACAGACAGCTTCTTCCTGGTCTCCATATGAATAAGGAGGGCTAGATATTTCCTCATATGGGGAAGGTATTCATCAGGAGTCATGGACTTACACACATATTGAAGCTGTGTAAGTGGGGTGATTGTGTGAATTAGATCCAATGTAAAGTGCAAGAGAGAGGAGTAGGGGCTATGGCATACAAGGGGGACCCCCAAAACCTGGACTTTATTTATTAAAAATGTGGGCCGGGCATGTTGCCTCAAGCCTGAAATCCCAGCTTTTTGTGAAGCCGAGGTGAGGGGATTGCCTGAGCCCACAGGTTTGAGAACAGCCTGGGCAACTTGGTGATACCTCATCTCTACAATAAATAAAAAAATTAGCCAGGTGTGGCAGTGCATGCCTGTAGTTCCAGCTACTTGGAAGGCTGAGGCAGAAGGATCGCCTGAGCCAAACAGGTCAACACTGCACTCCAACCTGGGCAACAAAGTGAAACTTCAACAACAAAAAAAGTGTATTTATACTTACATGAATAGAGAGGGTGGGGTATGAGGGTCATGCCATTTTTTGGTCAAAAACTGCTGAACACTAAGCATAGTGTGGACAGGTGCATTGTCATGGTGGAAGAACCCTTCGCTTGTTTACCACAACTCTGGATGTTTCTTACTCAAATTGTGACGCAACCTCCTCAGTGCTTCCAGGTCAAAACTTTCGGTTGACCATTTGACCCAGAGGAACAAATTCTGAGTGTACTGCAAGGAGCCCGCCCTCCAAAAGATGATTGCATTTTTTTGAGAATTCCCCCCTCGTACTATCCAGTGCATTCCCTGCCTGAAGGAGAATCTATTACTCAGCTCCAGTTATTTGTTACCATGTGGAAATATTCAGTGTTGCAAGATCTTCTACATTTTCAAGAGAATCCAGACATCTGGATTTTTATATGAAATTATGTCAAACATTGGCAATGAAAAAAAATCACAACCACAGTGGGGAGGCCAAACAAACACATATCCTTTAGTCTCTCCATCTATAAACCGATGTTGACTCAGACCCATCCATAAAGGGTGTATTATTTTTCTGTCATTGCCATAACAAATTATCACATATTTAATAGTTTATTATCTCACAGTTTCCACAGCTCAGAAGTTCAGCTAGCTCAGCTGGATCTCTGCTTAGAGTCTCACAAGACCAAGATAAAGGTTTGGCAGGGCTGTGTTCTTTCTAGGCTGTTAGGGAAGAATCTGTTTCTTTGATCCTTCAGGCAGATGGCAAAATTCAGGTCTATTCAGTTATAGGACTGAGGTACCATTTCCTTACTGACAGTGAGCTGAGGACCATTCCAGTTTCTAGAGGCTACTCACATTTTTTGGCTCATGGTCTTCTATTTTCAAAACGAACAGTGGTGAGTTGAGTCCTTCTCATGCCACATCTCTCTGATACTCTCTTTGTCTCTTCTGCATTCCTCTTCTGCTTTTAAGGACACGTAATTACATTGGATTTACCTGGTAATCCAAGATAATCTCCCTTTTGAAAGATCCATCATTTTAATTCCATCTACAGAGTCATATAACACAACATACACAGACATAACACCAGGGGATGAAAATCATGGTAGGGGAGAGGGTGTCAAATCTTTTTTCCCCCAAAGTATTTCTCTTTCTCTGGAAAAATTATTTTCCCTGATCCAGCACCAGATAACCTTAATCTGATATCTGAATGTAAGTATGTTTCTCAACTATGTCACCTCAGCCTGGTGCTAGGTGCCCTGCTCGCAGGGAGAAAAAAAGGGAACACTAGCACCCAAACCCCTCCTTATCTTGTAATCAGCACACAGCACTCTGCTAAGAATAACCTCTGCCTTTGGGTGACACAATGGCTTTCTGCTTCAAGTTGCAGGAGATTCTCTGCAGTTTGAGACTGACGAGCCTGCAGAGGTGGAATCTGTCTTCCCCATGCCACCTGGCCAAGAGACCAGTTCCGAGTCCCCAGTGAGTGAGAGCATCTTTGCGACCCAGCCACTTAAACCCATCCTGGAGGACGACCGCAGCTCAACTCGTGACTTCCCCACACAGGAGTCCTATACCATGTCTTCCTGTGCCTCAGAAAGCCACTCCCATTGGGTCCACAACCCCATCGAATGCACAGAGCTGGATCTGCAAAAGTTTTCTAGCTCTGCCTCCTATACTGGAGCTGAGATCTTTGAGGGAAACATAGCTGAAAGCTCTGGAGACAGACTGGAGCTCAATGTGTCTTTTGAAGTTCCCAGCCCTTAACTCTACTGAGGTGAGCTGGAAAGGTGGACAGCAAAGTCAGAAATTAGCGACCACTCTGAAGGAATTCCCTCTATTCAGTAGGACCAGGGTCAGGGGTAGGAAAAGAGTAGCAAGCCAGGAACACTAGTGGATAGAGAGGGAACAGTGGTGATGCTAATCCTTTAAGCCTACAATTGTCAGGAAACTGATAGGGTTTCCATGACACTAGTCTCTTCATCCTGGACTTTTCCAAACTCTCTCAAACCCCCTCAGACAGTGCCCCTCCCTGTCTAATGATCATATTCAGGTATCTCCCCTCATTTGTAGCATAGCATGACAGAAAAACATAAAAGGCTTGTCATCTGGCAGCCTTATATTTCAAATCAATCTTCATTCCCTAATGACTCTTAGTATATCTCTTAACCTCTCTGAGCTTCAGATTCTTCACCTCATAAATTCTTATGAGGGTTGAATGAAAAACACAAGTGCAAGTGCCATTTACAGTGTCTGAAGCATTAGAGGTGTTTAAACTATATTAGATTTCCCCCCCTCTCCTGTCCCACAATTTATGCTTTCCTTTTACATCCACTATATTCACCTGATCATAATAACACCTGCTTGTCATAAGCAGGTCAGGTTATGTTAACCTTATTTTATTCTTTTTCCCACCCACCCCAAGTTAGCCTTATTTTAAAGAGGTGTGAACTGAGGCACAGAGAAAGTGATTTTCTCAAAGTCACAGAAGAAATCATTGGCAGAACTAGACTAGAATCCAGGTTTGGGGGCTCTATTTTAGAGTTTACTTTCCCAAAGTCTTAAGTAGCATGAGGCAGTATAAGGGAGGAGAGTAGGTAGATTTCTAGTTTTCACTAACCAACTATTTTTCACTGCCCATTTTTATATTCCTTTAGCTAATATAATTCCAGGTTTCCCAATGTCTTACCTCCTCCCTACAACTTACCTAAGGGAAAAAAATGAGAACATTGCGCATTTGAAAGCTAAGACTGATATCAAATCAATCAGCCTTCAAGGTTATCTACTCCAACTCCTCTCCAAGGCCTTCACTCCATGCTTGGGTCCCTTTTATAATAGCCCCATTATGAGTTTGTCTTTGCTCACATATTTGAGTGGCCGAGTGCTCAGTACTTCCTATATATTACATCTATGATTGATGGATTTGAGCTCAATATAAATAAAAATTATTCTGTCTCAATGTAGTACCTCCTATGGGTCCTAGCTCTGTTCTTTAGGCCAGACAAATCTCATCTACTTCTGCCTTGTGATAAACCTAAGGAGATTTGAAGGTATAGTCTCCCCTCTGAAAAGTACTATTTTATGTTCCTCTGAAGTATGTAGAGCTTATAACTAAACCCAGTTTCACAAGGAATGTTTTTACCAACATAGAATAGGGTAGAATCATCATCCCCATAGCTAGGTTATATGTTTCTGCTATATTATGTTCAACTATTGGCCTGACCTATGATTTTTTTGAAGGGGTAGTGAGAAAAGGGAGCTAGTGGGACTGCTCCACATGTTTCTAACTTGCTCTGCTCTCTCTCTAGGTTGCTTGGACTCCTGGAAGCCTTGCCCAGTATTCTTTCTGGACTCTTCTGCCTTGTTCCTATACCACAACTACAGCAGGAGTCCGGGATGTGCCATTCACAACAGCCAGTACTCTATGGATGGAGTATAACCTATCTCATCCCACCAGAGCATTGATTTCTCACCATTTCTGCAGGACTGACCTGCAGCATTTCTTACTTTTCTGTTCTATACTGGAGAGCCAGATTCCCCTGCCATGGGTCTACCAGACAAGTTCCTAGCTTAACTCTATTATAGAGAATGGGGGAGAGAATGAGACAAGTTCCTAGCTTAACTCTATTATAGAGAATGCGGAAAAAATGACACTGAATGGGGTAGGCTTTTTCTGCCTGCATTTTTTGTCAGGTGGGTCTCTCAGAACTCTGTTGGTACCTCTGCCTAGCACTTTAGGGACAAAAGCAAACCATTCCCCTTTTAGCTCCTCCACACTGCCTCTCTCCCCAACACACACACACAAGCACACATGTCTTAATGGAAGCCTGGTGCCCATTTACTAGGATCCTCCTCACTACAGATAAGTCTCTACATTTTTTTAAGTGGGGATTCAAATGTGTTTTTTGTTTTGTGTGTGTGTGTTTTTGATCACTAAAATGATCCTCCCTAAAGGCCCTTTCATTTTTATTTATTTTTTCTTCTAACTCTTTGTCCCTTTCTGGTTCCTGGTCTTCTAAAGCCCAAAATGTAGTCTCTAGCTACAAATCAGAGCTCAGAGCTTTGGTTTTTGAAATGACTGTAAAGTTCCTGAGGTATGGGAGGAGGGCAATAAGGAGTTAAATTCTCACTGAGGCCTGGTCTTAGGGCAACTCAGGGACCAATTGGTACTTTTATTGGTTTAGAAAAAAAACCAATCAATCTGTCTTGAGCTCTTACTACCAGTTTCACATGCTTCTCAGCATGAAATGAAACACTCTCTTCATGACTTTCTGATGAACAAACCAAATGAGATTCCTGGGGCTCGGGTGTGAGCATAACGATTTGCTACATCTCCTCTTATGTTCATAATGAGCCACTTGGTCCGATGCCCAGTTTTTCCTAGTGGATCAGGTTTGAAAGGAAAAGTGCTCAGGTGAGTGGAGCAATTGGCTATTTTCTTTGAAAGCATCTTATATAATAATTCAAGGTGTTGGATGTAACTTAATTTGTAAAATACAAGACTGGAGATAGGGCACAATTATTCTGGGTTAAGAATGCTGAAATTCACTGTATATATGGGTGTTGCACTTTACATTTTGCAACGTGCTTTTACAGTCATCATCTCACTGAATTTTTATTTAGACTCAGAGGTGGGCAAGGCAGGGAATATCATCCCCAATTTACAGATGAGGAAACTGAGGCCCAAAGAGGGAAACTGATTGGCCTTAAGTTACCTAACAATGTGAACAGCAAAGCCAGGATGCCTTCAGGGTCTCTTCAGTATCTTGAAGTCTTCATTTTCTGGAAGGCAATGTTTGGGGGTAGAAGGAGTTTAGTTTTCTTGGCATATTTGTTCCAGAAAACAACTCTCTTTTAAAGGATAAAAAAGTGATATACTGCAAATAAGGCCCTTATGCCTGCATGTGAATGAGATAATCACCTTGCTGACCATATGAAGCTTGTCTTCTCCTCTTTTCTCAAGTTTTCGCTTCCCCAGTCTGGTATATTCTCTACTAGGTCTGACTCTAGTGGGAAACTAAAAGATTTACCATTTCATGCTGTTCCACAAAAGGTCAGAAAATGAGAACGGTTACATGGCCAGAAAGGATTCTCTCTTCCTGTCTCATATTTTTTTGACCCCTCAGGTGTGAAAGAGGGGATATAGGCAGGGGTCAGTAGGACTTTAGGTTTTAACTCTCTTTAATTGTGAGAGGGAACAACTCTCTCTTTAAAAGCCTTTGCAGATAGATTGTAAATATTTGGGCAAAACTGTCAATAACACTTTAGTGCTTTATAATTTTAAATGGCCTCATTCATACATTATATCTACTTTAAAGGTGAGAAAACTGAGACCCAGACAGTAGTGACTTACCCAAAGCCGTTTATATTTGAGAAAGGCAATCTGGTCCATACATCCACTTCCAGACCCAAGTGTGGATTGCATGACTGAGAATAGAGGCCGGGGAAGGGCAAGTAGGGCAGAAATTACTCTTGTTTATGACATAGGGACAGACAGGAGTGTTGAAGATCCATTTCTGGTTATTTTTTTAAGCCAGACACTGCCTAAATAACCCTTAAAAGAACACTAAAAACTACAGGGGAGAGATTAAAACAAACCATTCCCACTACCAGGCAAAATAACTGTCCCTATAGTCTGTTGAGTGCTGCTGAGGTAGCAATGTAGTTTTCCATGAAAAAAGAACATGTGATTTCATGTTTCTTAGTCCAACTGGAGCAGTATGAAGGAATATGTTTTCTTATTTCTCTGTCTCCCACTACAGATTATAAAGTTTCTTCTGCCTTCCTCCATATTCCCCTAGAGTCATGAACTCACTGGGTCAACTGGAGTGTCTTGTGCATGTTTGAAGAGCAATGGCCCTCCGTCGCAGCACAGGGCAAGGCAAGCAATTCTCCTCTAGATTACCTGGGCCTCGGGCTGTATTTGAGGTGCTATAACTCTCTACCCCCAGCAGTTAGAAGGGCTAAAGTTTGCCCTCTTGAAAGCTTACAGAGCATTTCTGAGCCAAGGTAACCTTCCATATGGGTCTGAGTTATTCAAAGTACCTCCAAGCAACCCCTTAAAGAAACTCTCAATCTATTTCTGGAAAGCTGAATATAGAGAAGAAAGGTACCCCACTGCTTCTTTCTATTGACGTGTCAGTTGGATCTCAGATCTCCCACCACATCTCCTTTGATTCTTTCTGAACTGACTTTTTGTCTTTATCTCTTACATATACATCTCATGCCATGGGAAAACAAGATTTTTTTGGAGACTATCTTCTTCTTTATTATGGGAGGATCTTTCTGAAACTTGTATAGCTAGTTCCTGTCCCACAAGTGGTTAATTTAGTATATTAGGCAGAATGTACACGTCATCACTAGGTTCTAGCTGTGGCAAAGGGGTGATCTCTACAGCAATATTTCTGTGTTTAGAGTTTCATTAAATGCTTCTTTGGAAACAGTCCATCTACAGACATTGATTAAGGGTGCCTGGAACCACCTATTGATAAGGATGCTAAAAGCACCTGGGAAAAGGCAAAAAGATTTTATTGACTGGGCTGGGAACTAGAAGCAATTGAATTACAAGCCTGTACCAAGCAGCCTGGTTTCACATAGGTATTAGCAAATATGTGTGAGTCAGGGTCTTAGGCCTTGACCTTTATGCTCTCTGTTTTTTTTTTTTTTTTCTGAGACAGTTTATTCGTATGTCAGTTTCAGCTTGCAGCTTGAGCAGATCCCAAGTGTTCAAAGGTCACCATGTGCCTGACAGTGATTCAAGTCACAGT